GTGACCTACTGTTCATTCATGAACATGTTTTTCAATCTCCATTTGTTTGCATATTTTCAATAATTTTTTGTTGCTAATTTAAAGCTTAATTTCATTGTGATCAGAAAGGGGTACACAATATGATTTCATTTTTTTAAAATTTGTTGAGACTTCTTTTATGGCCTAGAATATGGTCTATGCTAGAGAATGTCCCATGCAATGATGAAAATAATGTGTATTCTGCAGCTGTTGGATGAAATGCTCTGTAGATATCTATTAGGTCATTTAGTCTATAGTGTAGATTTGCTCTGCTGTTTCTATGCTTTATTTTGTCTGGTTGATCTGTCCATTGATGAAAGTGGGGTATTGAAATCCCTCAGCATTATTGTGTTAGAGTTTATATCTTCAGTTATTTCCATTAACATTTGTTTTAAAAAACTGGGTGCCCTAGCATTGGGTGCATATACATTTACTGTAGTCATATCTTCTTGTGAATTGACACCTCAATCGTTACATAGTGACATTGTTTGTTTTTTTCAACAGTTGTTGTCTTAAAGTATGTTTTGCCTGATAAGAGTATAGCTACTCCTGCTCATTTTTAAATTTCCATTTGCATGGAATATCTTTTTCTATCCTTTCATTTTCAGTCAGTGTGTATCTTTACTTGAGAAGTGTGTTTCTTGTAGGCAGCATATTAGATGTGTTTTTTTAATCTATTCAGCCAGTACCTTGTTACTAGAGAATTTAGTCCATTTACATTCAATGCTATTATTGATAGGAAATAACTCGGTTCTGCCATTTTCCATAAATATTCCTAATATTTGTTTTTAATCTCTTTTCTTCTTTTACTAGGTTTTATACCTTCACATTCTTCCATGATGCTGGTTATCATTCTCTATTTTTTTGTGAAGTACATACTTAATTATCATTTGTAAGGCTGGCCAGGGGACGACAAATTTTTTCTAGCTTCACTTGTCTTGGAAGGTCTTTAATTCACCTTCATTTATAAATGAAAGCTTCACTAGGTAAAGTTTTATTGTTGGTAGTTTTGTTGTTGTTGTTTAAAACTTGGAATATATCTCTCTATACTCTCTTGGCCTGTAGGGTTTCTGTTGAAAAATCTACTATCAATCTGATGGGAGTTCCTTTAAAGGTGATTAAGTATTTCACTCTTGAAAATTTTAGAATATTCTCTTTAAGTTTTCCATTTGAAAATTTGACTATAATCTGTCATAGTGAGGATCTTTTCTGATCATACCTATTTTGGGTCCTGTGTGCTTTCTGTATTTGGTTGCAGTATCTTTCTACAAATTAAGGAAGTTTTCTGCTATTACTTCACTATATAGGCTTTCTAAACCTTTCTCTTTTTTCCCCACACCTTCAGAAACTCCTAACACTAATATATTTGTTCTCTTTTTTAGTATCCCATAGATCCTGAACATTGTTTTCTGTCTTTCTAATTTTTTCCTTTCTTTCCTTTGTCTGACTAAGATATTTCAAAAGATCTGCATTCTGGATTGGATGTTCAATCTTTTGCCTCATTGACTCTGTTGTTAAGGCTTTCCACTGTATTTTTTATATGAGTTATCAAGTACTTCATTTCTAACAATTCTGTTTGGTTTTTCTTCAGTATATCTCTTAGCTGAATTTTTCATATCATATACTGACTTCTTAATTTCATTTGACTGTTTCTCTGTTTTTAAGTAATCATACAAATATTCTTTTGAATTTTTCAGGCATTTTATCAATCTCACCTCTTTCACCATCCAATATTAATGAACTATGGTGTTCCTTTTGATATGTGTCTCTAGGGCCTGATGGAGTGCCTGAGGCTTACACTTCAACTCCAAGGGTGTATCCCAGGTGAGGAAAGGGAGCTCTGGCCACTGTTTGTAGGTAGGGCAACAAGCCAGAGTGACACCCAAGTTGGGTGTGGTGGAGCACCTCTGGCTACAGTCAGTGGAGGGAGGGGATACTTGAGAAAGCTAGTGTGTTCACAGCCCCAGCCATTTGGTGTGTCAAGGTAAACCAGCTGACTCACTTCCTAGAGCAAGCTCATGGTGCCTGAGCACCTGACCCACCTAGGCATGAGTACTGTGCAGAGCACTTACCGACCTGATACTGTATTCTCCTGACTCCACCATGAGATCTGTCTCAAGAGTACAGGAAGCTCTGAATTTCCACAGTCAGGCTGGGTGGGTCCACAGGAACCCAGTAGGAACCAGCAAACCTCTCAGCTCTGTAGCCTATGCCACAGTCAGAGAGGGTGCAGAGTGTCTGCCCTCTACCCACAAGCTGGCTACCCCAGCCCTGCCCTGGAAGCCTCTGGCAGGGGCAGAGCTGTGTTTGCTCTTCCTCAGCTCAGGACACAGTTTAGGGGCAGCTCCCCCTGAGCAGATTAAGCCTGGTGCTTTGGAGGGGGCTTTTGGAGAAGGCAATATGGCCTCACTTCACACAGCACAGTAGTTGTCCAGACACCTACCAGGCTGGACAGGAAGCAACTGGGGACCAAGGAATTCTTACTCAGTCAAAGCTGCCAGAGGTAAGGGCCCAGCAGCTTCCCCTCCCCTTACCCTGGGAAGATGGCACTTTCCAGCCCAAAACCAGCCATGCAGATGCAGAAGTGCCTGGTGATGGTGTGCCTGTCCTCTCTCCTTGCCGCTCCATGTGGCCCCTGTTCTGTCTGTTCCCCACTGAAAGTTTCTTTCAATCAGTCCCCCAGGAGGTCAGTCTGGCTTCTCACTATTCAGCCATCTTGGATAACCTCCTAACTCTGCCATTCAAATAAATAAATATATATATATATGTGTGTGTGTGTGTGTGTGTACATATATATAAATACATGTATTTTTAAAAGACTAGATGATTTGGCTGCCCTATACTGATCTCATCTTTTCCAAGTTTGCTTTGTTGCTTTATTCCTTGTGGTTTGGAATGTGCATTAGTTTGCTAGGGCAGCTGTAAAAGCCACTACAACTAGGTGGCATCAAAAATGTATCCTACTTCCCATGTTGGATCGTCCTCTCCTTTTTAATTCTATCAATTATTATTAGCAGACACTGGTCTTATTTATGTGACACTTAATCCCATCTTTATGATCAATTATGAATTTAAACTGATCACTTTAACTAGGAAGATGACATTGGCACATGCCAACTTAATGGGATTTGGAGTCCCATGGCACGTCTCTAGCTCTACCATTAGGGATAAGTCCAAGTGAGTGTGTGCCAAACTGTACATCTTCTCCCTCTCTTATTCTCTTATTTTTAACAGGAAGCAATTTTCAGTTAAATTTAAACACCTAAGAATAATTGTGTGTTAATTAAAGAGTTCAACCAATGGTATTAAATAGAACAAGAAAATACTGAGAAGAATTAAATAGTAAGCTGTTCCTCGACAGCCAGAACAAGGGCTGGTCAAGTTGTTGTTTCTCATAGTGTCCATTTCACTTCTACAGGTTTCCTTTTAGGTGCTCAGTTAGTTGTCACCGATCAGGGAGAACATACGATATTTGTCCCTTTGGGACTGGCTTATTTCACTCAGCCTGATGTTTTCCAGATTCCTCCATTTTGTTGCAAATGACCGAATTTCATTTTTTTTACCGTTGTGTATTATTCTATAGAATACATTCCCATAATTTCTTCATCCAGTCTTCTGTTGATGGGCATTTAGGTTGAGTCCATATCTTAGCTATTGTGAATTGAGCTGCAATAAACATTGAGGTGCAGACAGCTCTTTTATTTGCCAACTTAATTTCCCTTGGGTAGATTACAAGGAGTGGGATGGCTGGTTCGTTTGGCAGGGCTATATTCAGGTTTCTGAGGAATCTCCAAACTGTCTTCCATAGTGGCTTTACCAGTTTGCATTCCCACCAACAGTGGATTAGTGTGCCGTTTTGCCCACATCCTCTCCAGCATCTGTTGTTAGTTGATTTCTGTATGTAAGCCATTCTAACCAGGGTGAGGTGAAACCTCACTGTGGTTTTGATTGGCATTTCCCTGATGGCTAGTGATCCTGAACATTTTTTCATGTGTCTGTTGGTAATTTGGATTTCCTCTTTCGAAAAATGTCTATTGAGGTCCTTGGCCCATCTCTTAAGTGGGTTGTTTGTTTTGTTGTTGTGGAGTTTCTTGACCTCTTTTTTTTTATTCTTTTAAAAAGATTTATTTATTTGAAAGTCAGAGTTATACAGAGAGAGAAGGAGAGGCAGAGAGAGAGAGAAAGAGAGGTCTTCCATCTGCTGGTTCATTCCCCAGTTGGCCATAATGGCCGGAGCAGTGCCAATCCAAAGCCAGGAGTCAGGATCCTCTGGGTCTCCCATGTGGGTTCTGGGGCCCAAGGATTTGAGCCATCTTCTTCTGCTTTCCCAGGATATGGCAGGGAGCTGGATAGGAAGTGGAGCAGACAGGACTTGAACTGGCACCCATATGGGATGCCAGCACTGCAGACAGCATCTTTACCCACTGGGCCACAGCACCAGCCCCAGTCATGTTCTTTAAAAAAAAAAATGTCATTTTATTTGGAAGGCAGAGAGACTGAAAAAAAAAACACAGAAAGATAAACAATGACAGATCTTTCATCCACTGGTTCAACCCCCAAATGTTCACAATAGCTGAGGCTGGACCAGCCCCAAGCCAGGAGCTTGAAATTCTATCTAGGTGTCTCTGTGAATAGCAGTGACCCAATTACTTGGGCTGTCATCTACTGCCTCCCAGGGTGTACTTTAGCAGGAAGCTGGATGGGAAGTGGAGGAGTCTGATAGGTTATGTAGAAATCCTCAGTGCTGTGCCTTGGGTCTACTGTGCCAATGTCTGTCTTAACTTAATTGCTGTGCCAATGTCTGCCCCTGAACAAGGTCGCATTCTGAGGTAAGGAGTAAGTAGGACTTCAACATATGGACTTTGAAGGACACAGTTCAACCCATAACAGCAGGTTTCAACACCCTCATTATTTCCCTGAGCTTTCTGGACTATAAACTCCAAAGGAAACAGACAGTACCTAATTATAACTCTATTTGTCAGCCTTTTGACATTGCAGGCAGACTGCACTGGAGCGTGAATGTGAGACCTTACGTACAAAGGAAGAAGGACCTGACCTTCTTACAGAACAGAAGATCTTATGACAAGATTTTATCTGAATTTTTAAAGGTAGAAATACTACAATTAATGCTTCAAACATATTGTTTAATTTTATCTATGGCAATTATTAGTTCAGCTAAAAAAAATCATTCAAAAGAGAGAATATCAGAGATTCTGTAGCAGGAAATTTAAAATGTGGCATCACTTGATCAAAATCCTGATGAACTTTTCCTAAATGTGTGAGCTTGTTGATAATGCTGACAACATAGGGGCCACACTCTGAGCCTCAGAAAGATTTTCATTGTGACAAAATTTTCTTTGAGTATGTTTTCATCTGGAGGGGGCTGGGGACTTGGGGTGTGTGTGTTCGTGTGTGTGTCTGTGTGTGATTTTCCATTTCTCTTCTTTGAAAAAGTGACCCATATATGATTTTTTAATAGAGGAGGATACTCCAAAGGTTTGCTGTGGAAAGAAAGGACTGGACTCTCTGTGTCCCACAGTCCTCCAGTTCCCCTCCTACTGACAATTCCACATTTAAAAACATGAATGCAACCAATGCACACCACAGATAGCATGCTACTGACTACCCTGCACCTGAGTTTTTTCCCTTTCTCTCTCTGTACCTGGGCTCTCAAAGATCCTGGCAGATCAGTAGCTGTTTCATTTGCCCTAACAGGTACATGCATTGTTCCAAAGCCACAATTTCTCTCGGTTGGAATTGTATTGACACAAAGAATGCAGTGTTCTCACAATGCTATAACGTGCCCCTCCTCGCCTCCACCCGTCACTTCCCCTCTGCTGAGGAACCAGGCAGTGTCCATGCCTACCACACAATATCGAATACAAAGATAGATTTAATCAGTTTTCAATAGCACCATTGTACTAGAGAAGGCCAGTTTGGTCACTTGTAGTTAAGAACAAAAATGTTCAGGATTGTCGCTTTCCTACACAGCTTCCCTTTCCAGTTCCTTTGCTCCTAAATTTTACAGGTAAAGAAGCATTAAATTTCATCTAAAAGTAACAACAAAAAAGTAAACACTTGTATGAAAACTGAACTTCCATGGCTTTTTTAACTGAAAATACTTGCAAAAAGTTTCTTTGTAAGGTGAAAAATGTAAGAGCAGTAAACATTTTGCTCATGGGTGCCATGTTGTACCCAAATCAGCTGCAAGAATAGAATTTTCAATGGAAATTTGAGACAAGAAGTATCCAGTTCCTGAAGCATTTCTCCAAAGAATTGTGATAGGCGGTGAAACTGGTTTTACCACTATGATCCTGTAGACAAAACCCAATCAAAGCGATGGATATCGAGAGGTGAACATGGTTGGATCAAAGTGAGAGCAGACTAGTCAAGAGGAAAGGTCAAGGCACCAGTTTTTAGAGTGCTCAGGCATTTTCCTTTTTGCCTCTCTGGACCAAAGAACAACAATATCTGCTCATAAGGAGTGTTTTGAGAAACTTCAAGAATATTTTACCTGGGGCTAGCGCTGTGGCACAGCAGGTTAAAGCCCCAGCCTGCAGCACTGGCATCCCATATGTGCACCAGTTCAAGTCTCGGCTGCCCCACTTCCAACCCAGCTCTCTGTTTTGGCCTGGGAAAGTAGTAGATGACCCAAGGGGCCGGCGCTGTGGTGTAGCAAGTAAAGCCACCGCCTGCAGTGCCGGCATCCCATATGGACACCAGTTTGAGTCCCAGCTGCTCCATTTCCCATCCAGCTTTCTGCTATGACCTGGGAAAGCAATAGAAGATGGCCCAAGTGATTGGGCCCCTGCACCTACATGGGAGACCCAGAAGAAGCTCCTGGCTCCTGGCTTCAGATCAAAATAGCTCCAGGCCATTGCGGCCAATTGGGGAGTGAATCAGCAGATAGAAGACCTTTCTCTCTCTCTCTCTCTCTCTCTCTCTGCCAATCCTTCTCTTTCTGTGTAACTCTGACTTTCAAATAAATAAATCTTAAAATAAGGATGGCCCAAGTCCTTGGACCTCTGCACCCACATGGAAGACATGGAGGAGGCTCCAGGCTTCGGATGGGCACAACTCCAGCTGTTGCAGCCAACTGGGGAGTGAACCAGTGGAGGAAGACCCCCCCTCTCTGTCTCTGCTTCTCTGTGACTCTTTCTTTCAAATAAATAAAGTAAATCTTAAAAAAAGAAAAGTGTACCAGAAAAATACCCAGGAAAGCTTCACCAGAGAGTACTTCCTCAAGACAGTGTTCCTGCTCACTCCTCTCATCAGACAAGATCAATTTTGCAAGGGTGTTGGTAGAAAGTCTTTAGATGTCCACCTTATAGTCCTGGTTTGGCTCTTTCTAGCTTATATTTGTTTCCCAATCTTAGAAAAATAAAAACCACAGGGCTGGCGTTGTGGCACAGTAGGCTAAGCTTCCGCCTGTGGTGCCAGCATCCCATATGGGCGCCTGTTCATTTCCTGGCTGCTTTTCTTCAGATCCAGCTCTGTGCTATGGCCTGAGAAAGCAGTAGAAGATGGCCCAAGTGCTTAGGCCCCTGCACCCATATGGGAGAATCAGAAGAAGTCCTGGCTCCTGGCTTCGGATCAGCACAGTTCCAGTCATTGCGGCCATCAGGGGAGTGAACCGGAGAGTGAAGATCTCTCTATCTCTCCCTCTCTCTGTCTGTAATTCTGCCTCAGATAAATAAATAAAATCTTTAAAAAGAAAACAAACTACTCTTCAAAGTAATCAAAGTATTTTTTCTTTAAAAAAAAAAAAAACTTGTTTTTATTTGAGAGACAGAAAGATAGAGACAAAGAAGTCTTCCATCCTGTGGTTCACTCTTCAAATGCAGAAAACATTGTGAGTTGGTCCAGGCCGAGGCCAGGAGGGAGAAATTCAAACAGGTCTCCCAAATGAGTGACAGGCACTTGAGTCATGCCAGGGTGCACATTTACAGGCAGTTGGATTGGAAGCAGAGCCAGAACTCAAACCAGACCCTTTAATATGTGCAAGCATTCTAAGAGGCATCGTATCCACTATGCCAAATGCCCAGCCCTGAACATTTCTTCTTAACACTTGAGATCCTCAATTCTTTTTGAGAATTTGGTGGATTTAGTGCCTACCTCTCCCTCAGAAAAGGGGTACATACTCCCCAAAATTTGCAGAATACTTAGGAACCCTCCCCAGAAAGAACCCCAGATTGAAAACCTAGGACCATTTTATGTCCCTACCACTTACCTACACCTTCTTATTCATAATTTCACTTTGTTTTAAGCTTTTTATGAGCTTGACAGCTCACTAATGAAATTTGAAGTTAATTCGCCATGTATTTTTTCCATATTATTTATTTAAAGAACTTATCTAATGATTTTAATATCTTAAATATTAAGTGGAAAATGTTAACACAACACCTAAAATCAGATGATAAGTCAGAAACATCAATTTCTAGGCATTCTCTGGGCCACAGGATGGAGTCAGTAATGATTCCAGTATGTCATGTCCCATGTTGTCCACCAGAGGACAGTATTATCTCATATATTCTCTGGCTTTTACTCTGGCACTCATACTGCTGAATTTATTTTCAGTAAATCCTTCTGAAAATTACTTGCAAAGAGTAAAGAGTTAACTATTTCATTATGTATGAAATGCATTATTATATAATAATTTTATTAAAATTTTTCTATTTAACACATGGAAATGTACTAATGAATTTCATTTATAATCAGTACTTCAAATGAAAATCAGGCCTTTATTACCATTCATTATTACATCAATTTGCTTAAATTATCATTCCTTGTGGAATGGTGTTTACAGTGCTATTTATAATTGAAACTTCATATACCATTAGCACAAACTGAGAAAAAGCACATTTTGATAGGCCACTGAACTAATTCTTGATCCCAACTCTTCTCCCATTGTTCCTGGGTTGTTTTTCCCATTCAGAAAAGATTTGCTGACCCCCTGCATTGCAGGGCATTCCTCTGTGTGAAGAAAACAGAAGTCCCTGAACTCAAGGAGTTGACATGCTGGCAGGTGGGGCAGGGAGGATAAACAAATCCACCTGCCTCCCATATGTGTTAAGATGTGATGTGGCTGGGAAGAAAGTGAAGCTGGAGGGGGACACAACACACTGAGAGGCAGGGATGCAATTTCAAATAGCGTGGCCAGGGACCCTTCACCCACAAGCCAACTAAGAGGTAACTAAGCACTGAAGGATTTCAGAGTCCTACAGATCTAGAAAAAGATGATTCCACACTGGCAGAATCATCCAGGGTATGGTTGCTGTTGAGAAACAGCAAGGGGGCAGTCATGGCTGGAGAGTGAGCCAGGGTAGAGGGACAGCAACGGGCCAAAGAGCAGCAAAGAGTATGGGGACAAATGACGTTGAGGTATTGATGAAATATTGAATGAGCAGTGATATATGGGAGACTGGCATTCAGGAAAGGTGTCCAGGTGCAAAATATACCATTGAGAGATTCAGTGTAGAAATGGAAAGAGACCTTAAAGACAACAAGCATAGAAAGAAAAAAAAAAGGTCTGAAACATCCAATATTTAGAAGTCAGGGCAGCTGCTGAAGCGTGTCAAGAGAGGGAGGAGAGAAACCAGGAATGAAGCATCTGGAATCCAACGGCTGACCCATCATCAGTAGCTAAGGGCAAGGGCCGACCCACAATGTCAGCAAGATGGAGCCCAGGGTGACCTTGACAATGTGATGTTTGTAGAGGGGCAGGCCTGGAAACCTGACCACAGGGGACTACAGAGATTAAGAGTAGTGCTGGTGCCAGCAAGAATAACAGTTATTTCATGGAATTTTGGTAGAAACAAAGCACAAGCTGGAGAGTGATATCAGAGCAATGAGTGTTTTCACAAGGTAAGAGAAGTGATTTTACGTATTAACAGTAGAGGGGGAACATGGAGATTGCAGAAAGAGGGGACTTTCCAAAGCAGTGGCCTTGAGTACACAAAGCAGATGGGAACAATGAGGAGGTGAAGTAGCCTCCCTCAATGAACGGTCAAGTCCAGGGCCCAAATGCCAGGAACTGGAGAACATTTTTTACTAAGAAAATAAGGGTCCCGGGGCAGGTGTGGGGAAGTAGGTTAAGCTGCCACTTGCG